GCAACAGCTCTGCTCTACCTCCTGGGGTGCACTCCAATCACTTCCTTATTTTTAAAACCTATTTTCACCAGTGTGGCACATGTAAAAAGAAACTAAATATTCAGAAGTTCTTCATCAAACATGCAAAATAGGGTCCAATACCATGTTGCTCCTAACACTATAGTAACCTTCATTCTCTTTAGGAGATTTAATTAAAACTACAGTTTGCAGGAAATAATGTCCACGTTCAGAAAGAAGCTGGAAATTGGTGATGTTAGTTTTATTCGACTTGAGAAAGTAATCACACTCTCACCCTATGCAGGTCAAATTTAGACTTGTAACTTTTTAGGGAGCTGAATGCAGTAAGTTGTCTTAATGGACAGGCTGAATTCTGAAGATTATGAACAGCTGACAGGACCTTAAAGAATATTTAGCCTCATATCTCTAGCACAAACCAGGGAAATACTTGTTGAAAATTTAACTGAGACAGAAATCTGTTCTTGTGTTCCAATAAAACATGCATCACCATTATATGAAAAAAAAAATACTGACTAGTAAAAATGATCAAAAAAACACAGAAAGGGAAAACCAGAACAGCCTATTTTTACTAATCACAACTGGAGAGGAAAGAGAAGCCAAGAGAACGAACTAACTGCTCCAGTGCTACTACAGATGTTTATCTATAATGCTTGCTTGTACCATCTAACCAGTTGAATTCCATCTGTTATGTGTCACTCCCCACCACTCATTAAGAAAAACAAAGAAAAAACAGATAACAGTGGAGCTAATTTTAAATAGAAAGAAGAAAAGTATCTGGAAGTCTGACTTTCAGAAGCTGATCACAAGCTCTCCAGCTTGACTTCTAACTAAAATTCTCAAAAAGCCTTAACAGCCTTTGTATCACATGTGTGTTCTGTGGGTTTTTTGCTGAAAAAGAGAGAAAACCCCATGACACGCATTTTCAGTTTACTTGGCGGAGAGATAAGAACATTGATAGTATCTTCCAAAAGCCCTTGGAGCATAACTGCATCGTGTGAAGCAATTTCACAATGCGATGTAGTGCATCTCCTCGTACAGGGTAAAGAACCAGAAACCAGCAAGGAAACAAGGTCACAACAGTAAAACTGAAAGAGCAGAAGTGGTAACTCCAGGACAGTCACGTCGAAAAAATGAACTCAACGCCAACCATAGGAAGTCCTTACACCCTCAAAAAGTTGCTAAAACCTTTACACATCACCCACCACAATCTAATGGCATTCAGTGTTTTCTGCCTGGAGAAGGGCACGTATAAAACAGCATAGTACGGTAAGGAAGCTGGCAAACATCACAATGCAATCAGTGGAGACAGGGGAAATGCAAGGATGTCAAATTTGCCTTCACTAGAGAGCAGCAGGAAGGCACCGGGCTCCTGATGCGTCCTGCCCGTTAGCAGGTACACTTACTCACCGGCCGGGCCTGGGGACTCAAGTAGGGTTCAAAGTCATCATCATTTAACCCATCCTTCTGATGCACAGATCCGTTTTGCACTGAGGAAGAGATGTGGAGCGTTAGAAAGAACTCTGCTGATAAACTTGAACATTTGCCAACTTACAAGTATTTAATGACAAACCTCATACCATAACTTAACCCCCACTAGTTATATATATACCATGCTTAGCCCAACAGAGAGTGGAAAGACACTTCACCACCGCACAAACACTCTTCAACTGTAAACTTTCCCCAGCCCCAGAAACGATGACGGGCTTCACAGCCCACGGTTTGTTTTTTCTCCCAGCCACCCCGCTGCCTAAAGGCGCAGGGACCCGAGGACATGCCCAGCAAATTTCGGAGGAGACCCTCTCCGTCCCTCCCCCGCGGCCACGCTCCCCAAAGGCGCCGGCCCAACCCCCCTGCCCCACGCCCCCCCCGCCGCTCCCGGGCTCTCACCTTTGTTGCCTTGGCCCTTGGGTCTCTGGCGCGGCGGCGCGGCATGGAAAGAGAGAGGGAGAGCGGTGAGTCAGAGGGGCGAAGCGGCCCCGGCGCGGGCGGGG